ATCGTAAACTGAAGGCGTGGATGGAAAGAATTAAAAACACTCAAGATACTCTCAATAAAAATTTCTGGAGCAGCCAAAACAAGAGTTGAGAGTATCTTGAGTGTTTTTAATTCTTTCCATCCACGCCTTCAGTTTACGATTGATTTTGGTGATAATGGCAAAGTAAATTTTTTGGAAACCTCCATGGAAATTGTTTGATGATTAATAAATTTCTTCTCATCATGAGATTGGGTCACTATTTTTTTAATAGTTTTAATAGCACTATTAGACCTGTGCTTTAACTCTTATTGTCCTTTACATTCAATATTGATTATACTCAAAAAGAGTTTTTTATTTCTTTTAGTAAAAATTTAGCAATATCAGAGAGAAACAACGCCATACGTTTTGGCCGACACCGATTTTCACGCTGTTCGATGCGCCATCTACACCCATTTTTGAGATGGAACTACGTTCCCTACGTCCATTTTCAGACGCTATCGATAAAGTATCGATTTGTTGCGTGTCTACGCCTATTTTAAGCGTCAAAAAAAGCATTAGATTAACATGTAAAAATATTAATTTTATGTGTATCTCTTGAAAGTGTTTTTGCTTAATATTTTAAAAGTATTTAAAACATTAGTTATTTGTAAAACATTAAGTATTTTTTAAAAGTATTACAAATATCACCTGATAATATACAACCTTTATGAATATTGCAAAAATATCTTAAAAATTTTAAATTTAAAATTTAAAATTGACGCAACGTTAAAGACTACGTTTTAGAAAACATTATGCACTGAATAACGTTACAATAATGTTTTCCTAATTATTTTTTGCTCTGGACTTATATAACGTATATCATAAAATATCGTAATGTATATCATTCTATAAAATGTATATATAACCATAAAATATCATTCCATAAAATACCATATTATAAAATATATGTATAAAAATAAAATATCGTAAAGTGTGATAACTTACAATATTATTTACGTACAATATAATAACGTTAGGATACATAACAATATTATCTGTTATTATATTTTGTTACAGAAAATCTAGTACACAAACATATAGAACTTTTTTCGAATAATTATTTGCTATCTGCAGACGATTCCACGTGATAAAATTCATCTTTAATGCGTGTAAAACGTTATTTAAGGATTAATAATACCGCTTTTAGATGTAACCGACCGAAGTTTAGGATGTATATCGCTTCTACGTTGAACATTCAACCAGAATCCACCCTCGGGCGACAAAAACATATTTTTCCTATCAAATTTCATCGGCAGGCAGGTTTTCGCGCAAGGTTTCAGCTCACATCGCGCCAGTAGATGAAACATTAAGACCTTGATCTTTAGTAAGGCAAACCTGTTGGCTATGCACATTCGCGGCCCTAATCCAAATGGTAAATAACACACCGAGTTTTGATATGCGTTCTTGTCTAAGAATCTCTCCGGACAGAATTTTTCCGGGTTAGGGTAATACTTCTCATCGCGGTGAATCGAGATAACCGGCACCCAAACGAGCTGGCTTTTCTTCATAGTGAATGATTTCTCACCCGGCAATGCGGGTGGTAATTCATAAGCTCTTTCACATATTCTTTCAATGATAACCATCGGGGGATATAATCTGAGAACTTCGTTTATTACCGCGTCCAAATATTCAAGTCCATTGACCGCTTCGTAAGTCACTTCTCCGTTTGACTCGTCCAGGACGTTGTCAATCTCCTGCCGTAACTTCGCTTGGACGTCGGGATTAACCGCAATCTCATGAGCAATAAAGGACATTACAGTTGAGTTAGTTTCGAAACCACCAAAGAAGAAGATGAACGCTTGTGCTGTCATTTCGTCGATATTCAATTCTCTGTCGGCCTCACATTTGCCTCTCATATCCATCATTAATTGTATCATATCCGGACGTATGATATTCTTGGTATCACGTGCGACAATCGTGTTTTTTATAATATCTTTAAAAAACTTCGTTACATGATCCTTAATGCCGAGAAGTCGACCGAGTCTCGGGAAGATTGTGTAAATCATCACATTAAAGATACGAAAACCATCAGCGAAGTTAGTTGCGTCTTTACCATAGATGTAAAATTTGTTCGTCGGATCTCTCATGGAGTCCACTTTAATTCCGAAAGCGCATGTGGCAATAACATCGGTTGTAAATTTCGTGAAGGCATCCTTCATATTCATGTCGGCTTTATCAGCTGGTACATCCGACAGGAACTGGCCAAAATCGATAGCGCACTCCGACATCAAAACGTACATAGTTTTCATCTTGCTGGACGTGAAAGCCGGACTCAGTAAGCTCCTCACGTCTCGCCATTTTTGCCCTTTAAGAGAGAACAAACTTTTTGAAAACAGCGGATCCTTCACTTCGGCGAACCCGCGTCGATTGGGAAATGTCTCGAAATTCTTAACGAGGGCCTCCTTGATTAATTCCGGGTCGCGAAGCAGGACAATCGGAGTCGCTAAACCGTAGAATCCAACATATTTAGCGTTTGGCTTGAAACAGTATACTTCTTGAAAGAGGCTGACTAATGTTTTTCGACGAAACGCCATCGAAAGTATGGCGGTCGTTATCGAAACAGGTGGCACGTGAATGACACCTTGTCTTTTGAAGTAATTAAACTTTTGAAACAGATATTCAATGCTGAGAACACCAATCACAATATATAACAGTATTGTCCAGTATTCCATGATAAATTTTATCATTAAATCTTAGCAGATTTGTTCACGAGTCACGAGATGGCTGGTGAAGCTCGGTTTGCGGCGGACAATTTACAATGAGTAACTGTTGCTGCTTTTGCGTGGTATCTTACAATGTATATATGAATCTCTTTCTTACTAGTCATTTATATGATGACGCATAATCTAAGATAAGCCAATTATCGTGCAAGTTCAGCGGTGCTTCATCGACTGCGATATTGCTATTGTTTTGCAGTGCGAGTGAAGTAGCCAATCTCGTGAGCAAACAATTCTCGAGATATCTGATATCTCCGAGATATTTTTACAATTATCGGTGCTATAACATGACATACCATTATAGTAAGGTGATAGGTATAGTAAAATATAGTCATTTAATATAATCATAAGTACCATTATTATTTTATGTATCACATCATTCATATTAAAATATGCGACAGAAAATATATTACAGATGTTGAAAAAACGAATTTATCATCCTATAATAAAATTTTTCCTAGAATAAAATTTTTCAATAACTGAAGTGAGATATAAGCGAACCTTGGTTTTTGCGTTGGATTATTCCCTTTGTATTTACTGCGGTACAGTCTCGAGAGATCTGATGACTCGAGAAACATGAAAGGATGCTCAAAAACATCAGAGAATACAATACGTTAAAGATTTCAACAGCTGCTTAGGCATGTATCGATTATTGAAGGAAACGGGACTTTAGAACGATTGATGATTAACGTAAATTTGAAAATAATGTTAGACATTGATATTATAACATTCTTACTAATGTAATAAATGTTTAAAGAATAAAATACTTACATATTATTATAGTAGAGGAGCGCCGTTGTGTGAAAAATATAAAATAAAATCTAGTAATGTGTGTGTAATATAATATATAATATGATATATACTAAATACCAGAAAATATATATAACAACTATATATTATTATTAAATAATTATAAAAAAATATATACATATACGACTTTTACGAAATAGTTTTCCCTTCCCATTAGCTTGCCCTGATTTAACAAGATGGTTTTCCCATTACCTACATATTATTATACAAACTATTCCACTTAACAAACTATATCTATAATTTGGACAAATGTAAGGCGTCTTTGAAAATTACGATTAGTAACGTTCAAATGCTATCGACCCCATTACTAGTAAGCTACAATTAATATTATAATATTAATATTATAACATATAATATATACATAATATTAAAACAATTATATAACATTAATATTATAATTTCTTACTGAACAATATGTAAGTGCAATATGACATGCGTTGTATGTATCAGTTACATTTTAAAATTAAACATTTTAACATCGATGCAATTTATTGTCTGATATATATTAAATGTTTACTGGTGTTTATTAGGTTGTAATATGCATATCCTTCCTAGGTTTAATATTCAACCAAAAGCCGCCCTCTGCAGTCATAGTGGCACTCGATTTGCTAAATTTTATAGGATAAATAGATTTCGACGAAAGTTTCAAATCGCACCGAGCCAGTACATGAAATAGCAAGACTTTAATTTCCAGCATGGCAAACCTGTTGGCTATACACATTCGTGGCCCCAACCCGAATGGTGCGTAATACGGAGTGTTGTGGTATGTATTGTTGCCCAAGAATCTCTCTGGACGAAATTTTTCTGGATCATCGTAGTACTTCTTATCACGCTGAGTAGAATAAACTGGAGCCCAAACAGGTATACCTTTCTTCAAAATAAAAGGCTTCTCACCCGGCAATGTGGGAGGTAATTCATAATCTCTTACGCTTAATCTTTCCAGAATGAAAATAGGTGGGTACATTCTGAGTGTTTCGTTTATCACGGCATCTAAATATTGAAGATGATTAATGGTTTCGTAAGACACTTCTCCGTTTGAATTCTTCAGAGCATCATCTATCTCTTGGCGTAATTTTTCCTGAACGTCTGGATTGGCTGCGATCTCCTGGGCAATGAAAGACATCGCGGTAGAGGTTGTTTCAAAGCCACCGAGAAAGAAAACAAATGCTTGCGCGGTCATTTCTTCAATAGTGAGTTCTCTTTCAGCTTCACGTTTGCCTCTTATATCCATCATCAATTGTATCATATCAGGGCGTGTAATGTTTTCTTTATCACGGATGTCGATTGTAGTCTTTATAGCATCTCTGAAGAAATCTCCTACTTTATTGCTTATAAATTTCATACCAAGTATTCGCGTTAGTGTCGGAAAGGTTCCGAAAATGAAAAATTTAAGGCCGCGCAGTCCACTGAAGTCAGTAGTGTCTTTACCATTAACGTAGAACTTGTTTGTAGGATCGCTCATTGAATTTACTTTAATTCCAAAAGCACATGTGGCAATCACATCGTTCGTGTACTTGGTAAAAACGTCCTTCATATCAACGTCGTTTTCATTTACTGACTTTTTTGATAGAGCCTTGGCGAAGTCCACGGCACACTCCAGCATCAATGTAAACATGGTCTTCATTTTGCTGGACGTAAAAGCTGGACTCAACATTGTTCTCACATCTCTCCATTTTTGCCCTTGAAGAGAAAATAAGTTCTTCGAGAACAACGGATCATTTATATAGGAAAATCCCATGCGATTTGGAAAAATTTCAAAATTCTTCACAAAGATCTCCTTGATAAGCTCTGGATCACGAATAAAGATGATAGGCTGTGTCGTAACGTAGAATCCAAAGTACTTTGCTTTCGGCTTGAAAGTGTAAAGCATCTCGCCAAACTGAGCTGGTGAGACTTGGTGGAGTATTAACGGCAACATACTGCCGAATAGCGGAAGAGGCGATATGTGGATAACATTGTCTCTTGAAGTAATGAAATGTTCTGAAAAGATAATAGCATCCCAGAACTCCTATCACAATGGATAACAATATCGTCCAATATTCCATGGTCGCAAATTTAGTTGTTGGAAATTTGTCGGAATTAATTTGCGGATGTACGAACGAATAGTTGACAATGATTTAACGTGCGAACGATACTGCGCACACGAGCCTCCGCAGGCAACTGTCACTATCACAATAAACATGCTTGGAATTTGTACGTTGATGTCATTGGCACGTCACGCTCGATATGACGTTACGTAAGACAAGAATCAAGCAATACAGCATCTCGCAGCAAGCCAGCATCTACAATGCAGCTATTCTCTATTATATATATATGATTCTATTAACCTTGAACGTGAGAAGGCCCTATAAAATAATATTTATTGAGAAGATATATAATAACCCTGAACTATGAAAAAAACTATGGATGTGCGATTCTGCAATATGCAGACTAATATAGTTGTCGCAAAATTTACATACATTCATCTACCAGATACAATACTAAACATAAAAAAATATAACAGCAATATACGTGTTATTATTTAAAATTTATGACAGAGTTCATATATATAGACTTTCCTATACATTAAATGTTTGTTTTGCTATTATCTACAATCGTGTACACATAAATCAAGTATCAGCGCGTTTGAAGTATCATTCAAAAATTGCTACTAGTATTACTATCAAAGGCCGCTGACGAAATTGTAAGATACATACAGTTGATTCAAATAGAATCCCGTTTCTACGTTGAATATTCAATCAGAATCTTACCTTTTGAAACCAGAGTGAAATTTTATTTGCTCAATTTTATGGGCAACATAGTTTTCGCGCAAGGTTTTAACTCATATTGCGCTATGAGATAAAACAGTGAGACTTTGATGTCCAGAATGACGAATCTATTAGCTAAACACATTCGTGGCCCCAAATTGTGCGAAACACGGTGAGTTGTGATACACACTGTTGTCCAAGAATCTCTCCGCGCGAAATTCTTTTGGATCATCGTATTACTTTTCATCACATTGAAGTAAGTCGAAAGCCAACATTCATACCTTTCTTCATTGTAAAGGACATTCTATTCGGCAAAACGAGCGGTAATTTATAATCTTTAATGCATACTCTTTTTAAGAAGAAATTTGGTGAATACAATCGGAGAATTTTGCTTATAACTACGTCTAAATATTCAAAACGATTAATAATTTCGTAAGTCACTTTATCGTTTGAATTTTTCAGAACTTTGTCGATCTTTTATCGCAACTTTTCTTGAACATTTGGATTCATTGCGATCTCATGGGCAATGGTAGCAATTCTGAGCTGTATAACGTGTACCATAAAATATTGTAATGTATACCATACTATAAAATGTATGTATAACCATAAAATACTGTACCATAAAATGTATGTAAGACCATAAAATACAATGTATACCATAAAATGTCGTAATGTTTGACATAACGAATAATATAATATTATAACGCTAGGTTACATAATATTATTTGTTATTATATTTTATCATTACAAATTCCAGTACATAAACATGCAGAACTTTTATCAAATAATTATTTGCTATCTACAGACGATTTTACATGATGCAATCTAATTTTCATGCGTGTGGAATGTTATTTAAGGATTAGTAATATCGCTTTCAGGCATAACCGACCGAAGTTTAGGATGTATATTGCTTCTACGCTGAACATTCAACCAGAATCCACCCTCGGGCGACAAGAACAAATTTTTTCTATCAAATTTCATCGGCAGACAGGTTTTCGCGCAAGGTTTCAGCTCACAACGCGCCAATAGATGAAACATCAATACCTTGATCTCTAGTAAGGCAAATCGGTTGGCTATGCACATTCGCGGCCCTAATCCAAATGGTAAGTAACACGCTGAGTTTTGATATGCGTTCTTGTCTAAGAATCTCTCCGGACGGAATTTTTCCGGGTCAGGGTAATATTTTTCATCTCGGTGAATCGAGATAACCGGCACCCAAACGAGCTGGCCTTTCTTTATAGTGAATGATTTCTCACCCGGCAATGCGGGTGGTAATTCATAATTTCTTTCACATATTCTTTCAACGAAACCGACCGGCGGATATACTCTGAGTACTTCGTTTATTACCGCGTCCAAATATTCAAGTCGATTGATCGCTTCGTAAGTCACTTTTCCGTTTGACTTGTCCAGAACACTGTCAATCTCCTGCCTTAACTTCGCTTGGACGTCGGGATTAACCGCAATCTCGTGGGCAATAAAGGACATCGCAGTCGAGTTGGTTTCGAAGCCACCAAAGAAGAAGATGAATGCTTGTGCTGTCATTTCGTCGATATCCAATTCTTTGTCGGCCTCACGTTTGCCTCTCATATCCATCATTAATTGTATCATATCAGGGCGTGAGATATTATTGGTATCACGAGCGACAATCGTGCTTTTTACAGTATCTTTAAAAAATTTCGTCACATGGTCCTTCATGATCTTTATGCCGAGAAGTCGACCGAGTCTCGGGAAATTTGTGGAAATCATAAAATTAAGGACACGAAAACCACCAGTGAAATTAGTTGCGTCTTTACCGTAGATGTAGAACTTGTTTGTCGGATTTCTCATGGAGTCTACTTTAATTCCAAAAGCACACGTGGCAATGACATCGGTTGTAAATTTCGTGAAGGCGTCCTTCATATCCATGTCGGCTTTATCAGCTGGTAGATCCGATAGGAACTGACCAAAATCGACAGCGCACTCCGACATCAAGACATACATGGTTTTCATCTTGCTGGACGTGAAAGCCGGACTCAACAAGCTCCTCACATTTCGCCATTTCTGCCCTTTGAGAGAGAACAAACTTTTTGAAAACAGCGGATCATTCACTTCGGCGAAACCGCGTCGATTGGGAAATGTCTCGAAATTCTTAACGAGGGCCTCCTTGATTAATTCCGGGTCGCGAAGCAGGACAATCGGAGTCGCTAAACTGTAGAATCCAACATATTTAGCGTTTGGCTTGAAACAGTATAGTTCTCGAAAGAGGCTAACTAATGTTTTTCGGCGAAGCGCAATCGAAAGTATGGCGGTCGTTATCGAAACAGGCGGCACGTGAATGACACCTTGTCTTTTGAAGTAATTAAACTTTTGAAACAGATATTGAATGCTGAGAACACCAATCACAATATATAACAGTATTGTCCAGTATTCCATGATAAATTTTATTATTAAATCTTGCCAAAGTTGTGCACGAATGACAAGACGGCTGACAAAACGCAGTTTCGTGGACAAGCTCCAATGAGCAACTGCTGCTGCTCTTATGCAGTACCTTATAACATATATGTGAACCTTTTTGTTGCAAGTCATTTATATGATGACTCAGTCCAAGATAACAAGCCAGTTATCTCGTTCAGCAAGTACAGCGGTGTTCCATTGACTGCGACACTGCTGTTGTTTTGCAGTGCGAGTGAAGTAGCCAATTCTCGAGATAAATATTTGATAACTCCGAGATAATTTTGCATTTATCGGTGCTATAACATGACATACAATTATAGTAAGTTGATATGTATAGTCAATAGGTATAGTAAAACATAGTTATTTAATATAACCATAAGTATCATTATTATTTAACATACCACATTATTCACATCAGATTATGCGACGATATTATGGATGTTGAAAAAACGAATTTCGATCATCATCATATAATACTGAATAAGATTTCTCAATAACTGAACTGAGATATATGTGAACCTTGCTCCTACCGTTCGACTATTTGCTTTGCACTTACTGCGGTAGTCTCGAGAGAACTAATAACTCGAGGAACATGAAAGGATGCTCAAAAACGTCAAAGAATACAATACGTTAAAGATTTCAACAGTTGCCTAGTCATGTATCGATTACTGAAGAAAACGGGACTTTAGAACATGATGATTAATGTACATTTGAAAATGTTAGACATTAATATAATATTCTTATTATTGTAATAAATGTTTAAACATTAAAATACCTACATAGTATTATAGCAGAGAGCGTCGTTGTGTAAAATGTAACATAAAATCTTAAAAATGTAAAATCATAAAATGTAAAATAAAATCTTGTAATATGTGTGCGTAATATAATATAATATATATTAAATACTGGAAAATATATATAGCAACAACAATATATAACAACAATATATTATTATTAAATAATTATAAAAGTTATAAAATTGTAATAGGATAGCTCCATTCCGGAAGCTATACCTATAGATTATAAAAATTGTAATAATTATAAAAAGGTACGTACATATATAACATTTACACAATAGTTTTCCCTTGCCATTAGCTTAACGAGATAGTTTTTCCATCACCTATATTATTACACCTATATTATTACTCAAACTATTTCCCTAACAAACTATATCTATACAATAATTTGGAAATTTAAGACGTCTTTAAAAATTAGTAACGGTCAAATGCGTCAATCGCGTTCCTAGTAAGCTACAATTAATATTATAATATTAATATTATAACATATAATATATACACAATATTAAAACAATTATATACCATTAATATTATAATTTCTTACTGAACAATATGTAAGTGCGATATTACATGCGTTGTATGTATCAGTTACATTGTAAAATTAAACATTTTAACATCGATGCAATTTATTGTCTGATATATACTAAATGTTTACTGGTGTTTATTAGGTTGTAATATGCATATTCTTCCTAGGTTTAATATTCAACCAAAAGCCGCCCTCTGCAGTCATAGTGGCACTCGATTTGCTAAATTTTATAGGATAAGTAGATTTCGACGAAAGTTTCAAATCGCACCGAGCCAGTACATGAAATAACAAGACTTTAATTTCCAGCATGGCAAACCTGTTGGCTATACACATTCGTGGCCCCAACCCGAATGGTACGAAATACGGAGTGTTGTGGTATGTGTTGTTGCCCAAGAATCTCTCTGGACGAAATTTTTCTGGATCATCGTAGTACTTCTCATCATGTTGAATTGAGTAAACTGGTGCCCAAACAGGTATACCTTTCTTCAAAATAAAAGGCTTCTCACCCGGCAATGTGGGAGGTAATTCATAATCTTTCACGCTTAATCTTTCCACCATAAAAATAGGTGGATACATCCTGAGAGTTTCGTTTATCACTGCTTCTAAATATTCAAGATGATTAATAGTTTCGTAAGACACTTTCCCGGTTGAATTCTTCAGAGCATCATCGATTTCTTGGCGCAACTTTTCCTGAACGTCTGGATTTGCCGCGATTTCCTGGGCAATGAAAGACATAGCAGTAGAGCTGGTTTCGAAGCCACCGAGGAAGAAAACAAATGCTTGCGCGGTCATTTCTTCAATAGTGAGTTCTCTTTCAGCTTCACGTTTGCCTCTCATATCCATCATCAACTGTATCATATCAGGGCGTGTAATGTTTTCTTTATCACGGATGTCGATAGTAGTCTTTATAGCATTTCTGAAGAAATTTCCTATTTTATCGCTTATAAATTTCATACCAAGTAGTCGCGTTAGGGTCGGAAAGGTTCCAAAAATGAAAAATTTAAGGCCGCGCAGTCCATTGAAGTTAGTAGCGTCTTTACCATAAACGTAGAACTTATTTGTAGGATCGCTCATTGAATTCACTTTAATTCCGAAAGCACACGTGGCAATCACATCGTTCGTGTACTTGGTAAAAGCGTCCTTCATATCCACGTTGCTTTCATTTACTGATTTTTCTGATAAAGCCTTGGCAAAATCCACGGCACACTCCAGCATTAATGTAAACATGGTCTTCATTTTGCTGGACGTAAAAGCTGGACTCAACATTGTTCTCACATCTCTCCATTTTTGCCCTTGAAGAGAAAATAAGTTCTTCGAGAACAACGGGTCATTTATATAGGAAAATCCCACGCGATTTGGAAAAATTTCAAAATTCTTCACAAAGATCTCCTTAATAAGCTCTGGATCACGAATAAAGATGATAGGCTGCGTCGTAGCGTAGAGTCCAAAGTACTTGGCTTTCGGCTTGAAAGTGTAAAGCATGTTGCCAAACTGAGCTAGTGAGATTTGGCGGAATATTAACGGCAACATACTGCCGAATATCGGAAGAGGCGATATATGGATAACACTGTGTCTCTTGAAGTAATGAAATGTTCTAAAGAGATAATGGAATCCCAGAGCTCCTAACACAATGGATAACGGTATCGTCCAGTATTCCATGGTCGCAAATTTAGTTGTAAAAATTTGTCGGAATTGATTTGCGGATGTACGAACGAATAGTTGACACTGATTTAACGTGCGAACGATACTACGCACACGAACCTCCGCAGGCGACTGTCGCGATATACATACTTGGAATTTGTACGTTGATGTCATAGGCACGTCACGCTCGATATGACATTATGTAAGATACGAATCAAGCGCAATACAGCATCCCACAGTAAAGGAGCGTTCACAATGCAGCATTCTGTATTTTCGGGCTCTATTAGCCTTGAACGTGGGAAGACCCTATAAAATAATGTTTACTGAGAAGATATATAATAACCTTAAATTATGAATAAAACTATAGATGTGCGATTCTGCAATATGCAGACTAATAAACTTGTCACAAAATTTATATACACCTGTCTACCAGGCACAATACTAAAACAAAAGAAAATGTAACAGTAATATACGTGTTGTTATTTAAAATTTATGACAGAGTTCGTACATATAGAATCCCCTATGTATTAAATTTTTTTTGCTATTATTTACAATTGTGTATACATAAATTAAATAAAATATCGGCGCATTTGAAGCATTATACAAAAATTACTACTACTACTACTCAAAGGATGCCGTCAAAATTGTAGGGTACATACCATTTCTACGTTGAATATTCAATCAGAATCTTACCTTCTGGAATCAGAGTGAAATTTTGTTTGCTCAATTTTATGGGCCACATAATTTTCGCGCAAGGTTTTACCTCATATTGCGCAAGGAGATAAAACAGCAAGATCTTGATTTCCAGAATGACGAAACTATTAGCTGGGCGTATTCGTGGCCCCAATTCAAATGGTGCGAAACATGGAAAGTTGTGGTACACACTGTCGCCCAAAAATCTCTCCAGGCAAAATTTTTTTGAATTATCATATTATTTCTCGTCACGTTGAAGTAAATCGAAGGCTAACATTCATACCTTTTTTCATTATAAACGGCTTTCCATTCGGCAAAGCAGGCGATAATTTATAACCTTTGATGCACACTCTTTCTAAGAACCAATTTGGTGGATATAATCGGAGAGTTTGGCTTATAACTACGTTTAAATATTCAAGATAATTAATAACTTCGTAAGTCACTTCATTGTTTGAATTTTTCAGAACTTTATCGATCTCTTATCGCAACTTTTCCTGGACATTTGGACTGATTGCGATCTCCGGGCAATCGCTACTAACAATCCTGGGCTATATAACGTGTACCGTAAAATATCATAATATATTATACTATAAAATGTATATATAAATATAAATGTATATATAACCATAAAGTACTATACCATAAAATCTATGTAAAACCGTAAAATACAATGTATATTATAAAATATCGTAATATTTGACATAACCTACAATATAATATTATAACGCTAGGATACATAATATTATTTGTTATTATATTTTATCAGTACAAACTCCAGTACACAAATATACAGGATACTTCTATCAAATAATTATTTGCTATTCGTCTGCAGACGATTCCATATGGTGCAATCTAATTTTAATACGTGTGAATGTTATTTAAGGATTAGTAATACCACATTCAGGCATAACCGACCGAAGTTTAGGATGTATATCGCTTCTACGCTGAACATTCAACCAGAATCCACCCTCGGGTGACAAAAACATATTTTTCCTATCAAATTTCATCGGCACGCAGGTTTTCGCGCAAGGTTTCAGCTCACATCGCGCCAGTAGATGAAACATCAATACCTTGATCTCTAGTAAGGCAAACCGATTGGCTATGCACATTCGCGGCCCTAATCCAAATGGTAAATAACACGCCGAGTTTTGATATGCGTTCTTGTCTAAGAATCTCTCCGGACGGAATTTTTCCGGGTCAGGGTAATATTTTTCATCGCGGTGAATCGAGATAACCGGCACCCAAACGAGCTGGCCTTTCTTCATAGTGAATGATTTCTCACCCGGCAATGCGGGTGGTAATTCATAAGCTCTTTCACATATTCTTTCAATGAAAATCATCGGCGGATATAATCTGAGTACTTCGTTTATTACCGCGTCCAAATATTCAAGTCCATTGACCGCTTCGTAAGTCACTTCTCCGTTTGACTCGTCCAGGACGTTGTCAATCTCCTGCCGTAACTTCGCTTGGACGTCGGGATTAACTGCAATCTCGTGGGCAATGAAGGACATCGCAGTCGAGTTGGTTTCGAAGCCACCAAAGAAGAAGAGGAATGCTTGTGCTGTCATGTCGTCGATACTTAATTCTCTGTCGGCCTCACGTTTGCCTCTCATATCCATCATTAATTGTATCATATCCGGACGTATGATATTCTTGGTATCACGTGCGACAATCGTGTTTTTTATAATATCTTTAAAAAACTTCGTTACATGATCCTTTATTATCTTCAAGCCGAGAAGTCGACCGAGTCTCGGGAAGTTTCCGTAAATTACCAAAGTAAAGATACGAAAACCATCAGCGAAGTTAGTTGCGTCTTTACCATAGATGTAGAATTTGTTCGTCGGATCTCTCATGGAGTCCACTTTAATTCCGAAAGCGCATGTGGCAATAACATCGGTTGTAAATTTCGTGAAGGCATCCTTCATATTCATGTCGGCTTTATCAGCTGGTACATCCGACAGGAACTGGCCAAAATCGACAGCGCACTCCGACATCAAAACGTACATAGTTTTCATCTTGCTGGACGTGAAAGCCGGACTCAGTAAGCTCCTCACGTCTCGCCATTTCTGCCCTTTAAGAGAGAACAGACTTTTTGAAAACAGCGGATCTTTCACTTCGGCGAATCCGCGACGATTGGGAAATGTCTCGAAATTCTTAACGAGGGCCTCCTTGATTAACTCTGGGTCGCGAAACAAGATGACCGGAGTCGTTAAACTGGAGAATCCGAAGTATTTAGCGTCTGGTTTGAAATAATATAATTCTCGAATGATATCGATGAATGTTTTTCGACGAAACGCAACCGAAAATATGTCGGTCACTGTTGAAATAGGCGGCACGTGAATAACACCTTGTTTTTTGAAGTAATTTAACTTTTGGAATAGATACTGAATGCTGAGAACACCAATTACAATTATAACACCAATTATAACAGTATTGTCCAATATTCCATGATAAATTTTATCATTAAATCTTAGCAGATTTGTTCACGAGTCACAAGATGGCTGGTGAAACTCGGTTTGCGGCGGACAAGTTGCAGTGAGTAACTGTTGTTGCTTTTGCTCGGTATCTTACAATGTATATATAAATCTCTTTCTTACTAGTCATTTATATGATGACGCATAACCCAAGATAAGCCAATTATCGTGCAAGTTCAGTGGTGCTCCATCGATTGCGATACTGCTGTTGTTTTGTAGTCCGAGTGAAATAGCTAATCTCGAGAGCAAACAATTTTCGAGATATCTGATACTCCGAGATATTTTTGCATTTATCGGTGCTACAACATGACAAATTATAGTAAGGTGATACAATTATAGGAAGATAATAGATTTAGCCAATAGGTATAGCAAAATATAGTCATTTGATATAATAATAAATATCGTTATTATTTAACGTACCACATTATTTATGTCAGATTATACGACGATATTTTGGATGTTGAGAAAACGAATTTCGATCATCATCATATAATGCTGAATAAGATTTCTCAATAACTGAGATATATGCGAACCTTGGTTCTTCCGTTAGACTATTTGCTTTGCACTTATTGTGGTACAGTCTCGAGAGAACTGATGATTCGAGGAACATGAAAGGATGCTCAAAAACGTCAAAGAATACAATACGTTAAAGATTTTAACAGCTGCCTAGTCATGTATCGATTACTGAACGAAATGAGACTTTAGAACGTGATGATTAATGTTATTCTGAGAATGATGTTACATATTGATATTGTCATATTTTTATTATTGTATAATTTATTATTGTAATAAATGTTTGAGGAATAAAGTATCTACATATTATTATAGCAGAGAGCACCGTAGTGTGAAATGTAATATATGAAATAAATTCTGGTAATGTGTATGTGTAATGTAATATAATATATTATATAATATAATATAATATATTATATAATATTATATAATATAATACATATTATATAATATAATATGTATTAAATACCAGAAAAAATATATAACAATAATATATTATTATTAAATAATTATACGCAAATATACGACTTTTACGAAAGTTTTCCCTTGCCATTATGTTTGTATAACGAAATAATTTTTCCATTACCTACATATTATTATTGTAACAAACTATTGCACCTGACAAATTGTATCTATACAATATGGACAAATTTAAGATGTCTTTAAAAATTAGTAACGGTCGAACGCCGTCAACCTTATTCCTAGTAAATTACAATTAATATTATATTATTAATATTATAACATATAACATATATAATAATAATTATAAAACATTAATATTATAATTTCTTATTCAACATTATGTAAGTGCGATACAAGATGCGTTGTATGTATCAGTTACTTTGTAGAATTAGACATTATAACAACGATGCAATTTATTGTTGTATGATGTATTAGGACCTTAACTTAGTTTCCGCCCAAAAAATACTGAGAAAAAGCATTTATTGTAAAAAATTTATTTAAATTATTTCAATGAAAGTATTTTCCATCACTTTCTACAACTTTTTGCCATCTTTCTGGCAACTGGGCGATACCATCTCGATAAAACGATGTTTGTTTCGAAGCAATCCATTCGTCCACCCATTCTCGCACTTCTTCAACATTTCGGAAGCGTG